GAGGAAGAGATGCACACTGAAGGACTGGATCATCTGATGGTGCAGAGAGAGAAAACACTCCCCTCAGCTGCACCAGAGAAGCAGCTTAAGGCTGCCTTTGCTTTTCCTAATCTGTGTGAGCTCTGCCTGTGCTGTCTGCTCGGGCTCACTGGGAACCCTGAACTCCACTGTCTGCTTCCTTCCATCCCTCTGTGCCAGCAGGGTGAGGGGCAGTGTACACAGTCACTGAGGCCGCGACAGGTGCAAGTGAGAACAGGCACACATGGCCACAGGATCCTGGTCAGGATAGAGGGAAGCGCTTCAGGCGTGCAGGCGCCTCTGCCTCCCTCTGCTCAGCATCACTGAGGGCTCTACACCAGCTGTTCTTAACCTTCCTAATGCTGCCACACTTTAATACAGTTCCTCATCTTGTGGTGACGCCAAACTGTAAAATTATTTTCATTGCCCAGCCATAACTTTAATTTTGCTACTGTTATGTATAGTAATGTAACTAGCTGCGTTTTCCAATGGTCTTAGGCGACCCCTGTGATAGGGTCATTCGAATATCACAGGAATCATGACCCACAGGTTGAGAAACCATGTTCTAGAGATCCAGAAGATCTGAGTTCTGCTGGGGAGGAGGGTGACCACGCCCTTCTCCACCTGGTTCACCACTCTCCCTGCTCCCACCCAGCAGTGCTCTTCAGGACAGAGGCACTGATGTGGTGGCAGCCTCATACTACATGTTCACACAGTGCCCTTCCTGAGGTGCCTGGGGGAGCTGGAAATGGAGCCCCAGTGGTTGGTGGTACTCCTGCAGTCTCCCCTCCTCCCCACTGTGAGGACCTCAGGTACGAAGGACCCAGCCCGGTGCCCAGCACTTTGCCGTCTCACTGTGCATGCTGCTCATCTCCTCTGTGGTCTGAGCAGCTCTTGCTGCTGGGTACCTTTTCAGGCATCAGGTCCAGCTGAAGCTATGCAAGACACAGAAAGCCAAGTTTCAGTATCTGACTCCAGACACTCACAGTGATGCTTGGAAATACTGGCTATTCTGCAAAATGGGCAAATGAGTTGCACACGAAGGCCCTACATTGCAGAAGCCTCTCCAATGCACAGCAGTTCAACTATTTGGACACCGGTGCACAAGTAATAACAGTCGGTCTGAGCAAACATTTCTTAGAATTCCAGTAACAGAAAAGGAAAGCCTGGCCCAGCCCCTCCCACAGATTTTTTTTTCCAGAGAAGTAGGTCTAGGAGCTAAGACACTCAACAGTGCCACTGTCCTAGCCTTCCCTTGGAGGCTTGTCCTTTCCCCTGGATTTAATCTAGCAAGTGTCAGGGCTAAAACAGGACATCATCTGCAGTTAAACACAAGCTCCGAATATTTCAGCCAGATGTAGCAGCTCACACACACACACACACACACACACACACACACACACACACACACACACCCTGGAAACAACTACTGTGGGGAGGCTTGGGCTCCATGTGACAGGAGGCTGGGCTCCTGGGAGGGCTCAGGTGATCAGAATCCTCCTGGCTCCTGGCCCTTTGCCTCCAAGAACACAAACAGCTCCTCTCTGGTCCACAGAGAAACTTCCCTGCCCTGGCATTATGGGAATTTTCCGGGAAAGGCTGGATTAAAACAATTCCCTGTTGCCCCAGTGTGGTTTAAATTACAGACCACAGGCACCTCTCCTGACACCTCTGCTCCACTTCTGAACCAAAAGTGACACTTGTTTCCCATTACTTGGGCAGCACCTGATCCCAGCACTCAAGACCAGAGCAGGACGATCATGATATTAACGGGTGTTTGGTACATTAGAAATGGTTCAACTTTGTAGAAGTAGAAGGTGATTAGATGTGCTTTGCAGAATATTAGTTCGAAACATGTAATACAATTAAAAACTTTTTTCAGTTGAGGAGCTGATGAATTACCCAAGTCTTGGAGCTAAAAGAAACAGCTGATTCAATGTTTCTTACAAGACCATTCATTGACCTGGGCTCACCTGGGTAATTTTTAGTTTAATATCACCCTGCAAACACAGACCTTATTTAATTTTGTGACCTATCTGTGTATTTAAAAGTGCTCTGAGGAAAATTAAAGATCACATTATATACAAAGTAGCATGAAGCCAACCAGCAATGAGTACTGGGGTGATGCTGCAGTTCAAGTTCACTCTACTGTGCAGTCAGGAGCTTAGTGAAGGGGACCTTTCTGCCTCCTCCACCTCGTCTCTGTTGTAGAAACAATAATGGGGAAAGCTCACTTTAAACAAAGTAAAAGTCCCCCAGACATCAGGCGGTGATGGCGCACACCTTTAAAACCAGCACTTGAGAGACAGATCTCTGAGTTCGAGTCCAGCCTGGTCTACAGAGCAAATTCTGAGACAGCCAGGTTTGCACAGAAACCTTGTCTAAGGAAGAAAATAAAAAGTTCCCCCAGAATTATTGGGCACCTTCTTCTCTGGGAAGTCAACTTGCAAATCTGAAAACACCTGAAACCGAAACCTGCATAGAAATAACTTGAGTTTGATTGTGGTCAGGAAATGAGCAGCTAATGAAAGGCACAGCTGCAGGAACTCTGGGGTCACATTGGAATGGCATTTGTAGATAAAATCCCACTTCTGTGTGGAATCTTCACAAGTAAATCTCACAGGATAAAGTCAATAGCAATTTCAAGGAGCTGGGTGTTGGAAGAAATAGGATGATGATGGTGAACTGAAAATTCAGATCCAAGAGAAGTTCTGGAGACCAGTGTGCACCGTGGTGACAACAGTCAGTAGTGTTACAGCGTGACAGGAATTTGTTTAGGAAGACCTTAAGTGTTCTTTCTGCACAAACACAAACAAATGGCCACTGCCCTCAGTAATGCATGTGTTAGCTAACCGGTAATCATTTCCTAGTATACGTGTACATCAGATCAGCACATCGGTATCTGAAGCATACAGAAGTTTATTTGTCAGTTATACATCAACAAAGCCAAAGAGGAAAGACAAACAGCAGATGAGGGCAGAAGCACAGCATCCAATCAGTGAGTAAAGCCTTAGCATCAGACAGACCTTAGCAGAGAGACACATGTGCTTTATTTTAATTTTTTATTTTATATAAGAGATTTTCTAATCTTTTTACATATCAGCCACAAATTCCCCTGCCCTTCCTCCTCCCACCCCCCAGCCTTCTGCCCCAATTCACCCCCCATTCCCACCTCCTCCATGGCAAGGTCTACCCTGGGGAGTCAGCCCAGCCTGGTAGATTCAGTTGAGGCAGATCCAGTTCCCTCCTCCCTACACCAAGCCTGAGCAAAATGTCTCAGCATAGACCCTAAGTTCTAAAAAGCACCAAGGACAGGTCCCGGTCCCACTGTCTGGGGCCTCCTAAACAGTTCAAGCTAATCAACTATCTCACTTATCCAGAGGGCCTAGTCCAGTACCATGGGGGCTCCTCAGCTATTGGTTCACAGTTCATGTGTGGGCGCCATGGGCCCTGGCCCCCGACTGTGAGTGGCTGCAGCCTTGCTTGCTGACCTCTTCCAGGTGTCCTCCCTATTCAGATTCCTTGCCGGTGTCCTTCTCACCTTAGGATCATGGGAGAGCTTACCGGAGGTTCTTTGTTCCTACATCCTGCTTGTGGTGTAAACAACTTAGGTGCATCCTGTATTTGGTGTAAACAACTTAGATGCAAGAATGCAGAACATTGGGTCTGGAATGTAGACCATTGGTAGCAAACTTCTGCCCTCAGGGGATCCTCCATTTGTGTTGTAAGCCTGTATTTAAGGTTTCTTCCCTCTTTCAATAAACGGCATTCGACATCCAATCGTACGGATGACCCGCTGTCTCTTGTCTCTATTTTTTAATCCGCAGCCCTTCGCTCGGACATGGTGAACGGGTATTGGTAACGCGGGCGTTACCACTACAGATGGAGGTTCCTACCGAGATCTGAGTAAGAAGGACCAGCTGACGGACACTCTTGGAAGGCCGGCCGGCATTTTACAGGTGAGAGTGGATTGAAATGGGTGCAGCTAGCTCACAGTCACTCCTCGAGGAACAATTAATTGGACTGTTGAGGCGGCAAGGCACTATCATTAAGAGCAAGACGGCT